TATCCTAACAAACCATACATCAATGGGAAGCTTATTTATTCAGCTTTCAGATGATGTATGAATCTCAATTTCACAAAATTGATCCTTATGACTGGTTTTGTGCTCCAGGGTCACAAATAGTTCTACTTCATTAATAAAACAAACCAGATGATTTACAATATTACAAAAGTCTGAAAAGCATCTATGGAGGAAATTAACATGACTTTTATTTCCAGAACTGCTCTATTAACCCTATAAAGCCTGACATGCTAAATAACAAAAAAAGAAAATCAGCATGTGTTTATTTTTGCTCCATCAGGCTTTTCTGGCTCATATAGTCTGATAAAGTGAGAATATGAAGGAAAAATCAGCTCAATGTTATTCAAAAATGTGCAATTTTGTACAAATGCTGATATTAATCTGATGAAATTCTGATGCTTGTAATGTAAATCAGTGAGATCTTTATAACAGTGCAGCAGATACTGACATAAACTGACCTAAATATCAGTCTATATCTCCAGTAATGTGTCTCAGTGAGATGAGAGTGAAATGCTCCAAACATATAATGCAGTGATTGAGAGCTGAAGAAATAAAGGCTCCTCAGAAGATGTGAGATGTTCTGGAGGCTTGTGAAGATCATTCCTCCGCTGAGGAACAGTGAAAGTAAAGCTTCTGGAAACAAACGCTCCTCAAAAGATCCTGAGGATCAGATTTGAGACTCTAAAACATGATTGATGGAGAATCAAGTAAAGCTGAGCTGCTTCAGTCCAGTAAGTGTTCATCTGGAGATATTACTGCAGTTATTCTGACGCTTACTTCATCAAAATCAGTCAAGATTTGACTCGTGAAGCTTGAGCTGTAGCTGGACGTTTGTATCCTGTATAGGGTTAATATTTTTTACCTCAAACAGGACGTAGCCGAAGCCCTTCCCCATCCCAGAATCTCTGTCTCGCACCAAACGCACCGCCTCCACATTCCCACAATCCTCGAAGTGCTCGTGCACCGGAAGCTCCATCACATCTGCCATAGAAATCAAACAAAGGGTTCATAAGAGGAACTGCTGCATCACAGAAGAGATTTCAGAACACTGTTACTCACCATACGGTAGATTTCCCACAAATACTGACCTTTTATGATCGTGCTGTGGAAGAAAATGATTGAGGATGATATGAACCCATTTCAAATCAGCTGAATTATATTAACGACATTATTAATGACACTCACTCCAGTGTGCCTGGAGTGCTTTTCACAATATATTTGAGTTTGATTTATAAAAGCAAATATAATGTTTTATATTATATCCATATATATATATATATATCCATAATAATGCTTCCTGCAGTGAAAAAGTGTTCTGGTGTGAATCAGAGAAATCTGCACAGATCAAGCAGCGTTTAAACAGCTCTAAACTAATATGTAGCTGGATATTTTCACTGGAGGAAGTGTTATTATGGATTATGGACTCTATGGTATTTTAGTTAAAAACGTATTGATGGATGTGTTTCCGCTTTTGTCTTCTCCAGATGTTAACTGATGGACTGGAGTGCTGTGGATTATTGTGATGTTTTTATCAGACTCTCATTCTGACGGCACCCATTCACTTGCAGAGACACTGATGCAATGCTACATTTCTCCAAACTTGAAGAAACAAACTCATCCTGATCTCGGATGAACTGAGATTTTAAGCAAATTTACATTTTTGGGTGAACTACTCCTTTAATCTAAAAGTCACAGAAGATATTGCTGTAATAAAACTTTTTATACCATCTTTGAGTTGTGTACAGTAACCGAAGCACCTTCTTGGTGCAGCTGGGAGGCAGGTTCCCCACAAACACCGTCCGTTTAGTTTTGATTCGCTCCTCTGCCATGTTCTTCACGTTTGCGTCTGACTTGCTTTGCACTCGTTTGTCCTTCATCATCTGCATTCTGTAGAGCGCTCTCTCTGCGGATTTCAACATTCAAATTCATTTCCACATGTTTTCCGTAACATTTCCAGTTATTATGAATTTGTCTTGAAGCTTCCAGTGCACAAAATACAAGACACAGTGAATAATAATAATAATTCAAAAAGGAATATTGTAAGATCATGTGACACTGAAGACTGGAGTAATGATGCTGAAAATACAGCTTTGATCACAGAAATACATTACAGTTTAAAGTATATTAAAATAGAAAACCATTATTTTAAATTGCAATAATATTTCACAATATTACTGTTTTTTCTGTATTTCTGATCAAATAAATGCAGCCTTGATGAGCAGAAGAGACTTATTTAAAATTACATTACAAATCTTACTGATCCCAAACTTTTGAACTAGGCAAATAACATATAGGCAAGAAAGACGAAATTTATATGTAATTAATAATCTATATACAGATACTACAATACAAGGTATTTAAAACTTCTTTTAAATGAATTTTAAAACTAATAAAAATTAAAATATCAATAGCAAATTAATTGACTTACTGTACATCATGCCAAGAAATCATTCAGAGCAATTTATGAATTTATGAAAAATAATAATGTGCTCACCACTGTGGCTTGTAAGCAAGTTTTACTTAAATC